CTTGGGACCGGTGCCTGGTGCTCCTTCAGCTGACTGCTCTGAGGGACCTGGGCTGAGCGCTGAGACAAGAGATGGCAAGCTGAGCTCCAACCCCAGCTCCACCGCTCACCAGGGGCATGGCCCGAAGCTCTGACTCAGCCTCCAAGCTTAAGTTTACTGCTGTGAGAAGGGACCACAGGCAGTGCACACCCATCATCAGGCACAGCAAGACGTCTGCAGCCCCAGGCCCAGCTCCCCCAGGTACCTTCAGGGCGAGTTCGGCTCATCAGACTCAGGAGATGGTTTCTCATCTCCTAAACTAAGGGGGAAAGCACTCTAGAGATGCCAAAAAAGATCACACAGTGACCTTTGATTATGGAATAAGCTGCATCAAAATTCTGTAACAGTAAAGTGCTAGGAAAATGTAAGGTATGGGCCCTGGCAGAGCTTGCTACAAAATAATTTTCACCAATTACGACTTTTTATTTTGGGCACTGAGGATTGAACCTGGGACCTTGTGCAGGTTAGGCATATACTTTTTTCCAGGGGGCTGTACTCACAACCCCGATTTTCAGTTAAAAAAAGTTGGGGGAGGCAATACTGGGGATGGAACCCAGGGCCTCTGCACTGAGCTACATCCTCAGCCCTGCTTTACTATTTTTTTTTTCCTGCTTTACTTTTTAAGTTAGCCCACTCTGTATCCTCCAGGGTGTGCTTTTATCTTGCTTTTTACTCTCAGCCCAAGCTTGCTCCATAGAGTCAGTTTGTTCCCTCACTTTTACTTTTTCAAATAAACTTTGCTAGAATTAAAAAGAAAAGTCAAGGGCCAGGGATTTAGCTCAGTGGTTCTGCTGCCTGCCTCGCAAGCACAAGGTCCCGAGTTCAATCCCTGGTACCAAAAAAAAAAAGGAAAGTCATTAAATTACCCAGGTCAACTCAAACCTCTCAAACCTGAAACCCTCTTGCCTCAACCTCCCCCGGCACTGGGCTTACCAGTGTGTGCCATCACATCCAGGCCAGTAAAGGTCTGGTAAATGCTACACCAAGAGCAACTGGTTAATACTGCTGTGCCCTCATCACCTCCTGAGAACACTACCAACCCTTGGGAAAGGAGGGAGGCCCTGTGTAAGCTGCTGAACTTGCTGAGAACAGCCCACCTCCCTCCGCAGGAGGCTCCCAGGGCTCTCACTGCCAAGCAGCGCTCAGCCTCACCTGCGGAACACCACAGGAGGCAGACTGGGACCTTGTAACAACTGGCTCTGGCACACGTGTGCTCCATGGACACCCTGTCTTACAGTCACTGGGAGAAGGTGAGTGGTGTGCAGGGCAGGGGTGTGGCCCAGAGGCAGAGCACGTGTGCAGCATCTTCAAGGCTCTGGGTTCAAATCTTAGCACACACGGAAAAGACGTGTGAGATTTCTTCCTCGTGCAGCCCCACTGTCCTCTCTCCAGCTTGCTCCTCCAGCCAGGAAGATTGAGATTCCCTACCACAGCGCCCTGCTGATCCAAAGCCAAACAGGCAAGTTCACACACTCTCTACCTGAACTGTACGCATTTCCTTTAGAAGTCCTTCTCTTCCACTTCCTGCCGAGCTGGAACAAACCCAGTTCATGCCCACCGCTTTGAGGAGGCAGCAATGTGCTTCCTGGGAAGCAGGCTGAGTTTCTGGTTTCTGATTCCTCTTCCCAGCACACCCTTTCTCAAGACTTGACAAACAATACATGTGGTAAGAAAAGTAAAGATTTCAGGGCCGAGGATGTAGCTCAGTGGCACCAAGCCTGCCTCGCAAGCGCAAGGTCCTGAGTTCAATCCCCACAGTGGAAAAAAAAGGTAAAGATTTCTGGTACTCACTCCCCAGGGGATTACTTTCCACTGCTTTCTTGAAAAATTGGTTTATAACAACGCTGGTAAAATGTAAAACTGACCAGCAGAGAGCAAATGCTAAAAGTAATCCACAAACCAAACATAGGGCAACGACTGAGGTCAGTGTGAGAAGAGAACCGCTTCCCCGCGCTCCCGCCTTTGTGCGCACGCCAGCAGGCCCAGCACACGGTGAGAGCAGCCAGGGCCTTCTCACACCCTCGAGAAGAACACCTCGCTCCCAGGGCTGCCATGCATTTCTCACAAAAGCGCCAGCACAGACTTCTCATCCTCTGCAGACACCAGAGGGGACCATCGGGCCTGTTCTCTTACACACATGCAGTACAAAATCCTTCATTCACATCCTTTAATACCGGGCCAGCAGAGCACCACCCAGAGCCTCTGTGCTCCAGCAGAAGGTACCTGACTTAGCCAGGGCTTTCAAATCCACAGGTTCACAGAATGGGTGCCCTGAAAGCCACAGCAGCCTTCCCATCTGCCCCCGGCCATGCTAAAAACCTCGTGGCACCGCCTGAGCCTCGCCACACACTATTACTCCAGCTGCCCAAGTGTCTCCCTGCTCTACTGCAAGGCGGGGAGAACGGACTCTTCCCCACCCCTCAGGCCTCCCATCTGCCCCCGGCCATGCTAAAAACCTCGTGGCACCGCCTGAGCCTCGCCACACACTATTACTCCAGCTGCCCAAGTGTCTCCCTGCTCTACTGCAAGGCGGGGAGAACGGACTCTTCCCCACGGCCCTCAGGCCAGCAGGACTCCGAGAGGCTTGGAGAGAGAGAGAGAGCTGCTGCTAAAACCCAGCACACAACTTACTCATCCAGCAAACAGTGGGTAAGCACCACGCTGCGTAAGGTCTGCGCGTCGGGAGTGAGCGGAACAGGCACGGCTCCCATCTGCGCAGGAGAAAATGCTTCGAGATGTCAGACCAGCAAGCGATGAGCAGCTGCCACCCCAGACAGCTTGCATCCCCTCTGCCCAAGACACGCCAATCTAAGACCTGCCCCGGGGTGTGTCACCCATGCTGCGGTCACCTCTTCAACAGAGGTGATAGTGAGTGACCAGTCACTCGGGCCTGGTGAAAAGAGGAGACTTCTCGGAAGAGGTGCAGGGCGCTGTCCCGCCAGAGAGACAAGCGTGCAACAGGAGAGCCAAGGGAGGGCTTTGCCCTGGCAATCAATCAGCAGCGACTACGGCCAACGCAAGAGTTGGAAAACAGGCTCAGGGCCGGGGATTTAGCTCAGTGGTTCTGCCACCTGCCTTGCAAGCAAAAGGACCCAGGTTCGATCCCTGGTACCAAAAAAAAAAAAAAGAAAAGAAAGGAAAAACAGGCTTAGAGCTCCCTGCACATCTAAAGCAGTAACAGGCCTCAAAGCTCAAAGGTGTGGGTGTGTGACTCAGACACTCTGAAGGCATCTGAAACACTCCGTACCAGCCCAGGGACACTCACTGTGTGTCTGTGCGCAGAGCCATGCTTCCTGAAGGTGACAGTCCCTGCCCTTACCCTCCTGTCCCATCCCGTCCCGTCCCCAAGAGTGCCCATGCAAGCCTCCTCTGCCAAGGG